AATAACAAATAAGGATCAGTACTTGTATTGATTGTATTAATTCAATTGGTAATGCTAAACAATACATGAATATTTTATTTGTAATGATTCTTGTCCGTGATCACTTGGGGGACAAGGATAATTAATGATGAAGTCATTATTAAGATCACACAATAAGTAATGAGGTCATTATTAATGGTAGTACATGTATTGATTGTATTCATTCAAACATTGATTGATACTCAAAATTCAAGGCATGTAAATATTTCTTTATAAAGGTATTTGACTGTGAAAATACTGTGGAACTGGGATAACTTGTGGTACAGGTATTTCACGTATAAATGAGTGAAAGGCAAGTGATAATTATTAAAGTATGGAACCTGTATGTATTTAATAGATAAATAATTAATAAGATAAGATAAGTGAAATAAGATAAGTTAAAGATAATGATAAGATAACAAGAGTTAAAGGTAAACAACATTATGGATAAGTACTTATGTACATAAGTACAGGTGTTGCAGTTACTTGGTACATGAAAGGTATTGTGACATGTACTCTGTGGCTGACAAGGGTTGTGTAATCCAAACAAGTTGGCTATATACATCTGGGAGGGCACTGTACATTATCCTCCCAGATGTTTATGTCTGGGGGTGAACTGTCACAAGTTGGCTTGCACCCGCGCACTAAACTGCAGTTTGCGGGTCCAAGTTAACCTCTTCATCGGCCAACAACCCATCACAGAACAACCTTAATCATTGAAAATTGATCTCAGAACAACTTTGATTGAAATTGGAACAAACTCGGTTGACCTTGGCCTTGGGACAAATTTGATACACGGAATCAGACATCAGTCTGTATCTCTATTGTTTTTTCTTCTTCTTTTTTTCTTTTTCTAATTTTTCCTTCATTTCTTCATTCATGTTGAACAGGATCAATTTGATGAGACGTATCCAAGGACAGCCCAACCTCACAAGTCACGACCGAGCAGGGGGCTCGCATCACTGGCACGGTTGAAGCGGCGAGTCGCAAGGATCATGGGCTCCGGACGAACAACAATCTCTTTGATCGTTTCATGGGCTTGGACTCCTGGGACCATCAAAACTGCTGGGAAGAGCGGCCTCGACTGAATAGTGGAATGTGTCTGGTTGTGGAGGCCTCTGGTGGGCCAATCAAATATTGAATTGATTTTTTGGTTTTTATTTTTTATTTTTTTATTTCATAATAATTATCCCTCACCTCACAGCTACCCTCCCCACTTAATTTTGTACTTTTATAAAAATTATTAAAGAAAATAAAGAAAAAATTGAATGATGCTTTTATTTTTTTAAAATGTAATGCATTTTGATTTTTTTTTTTTTGTTTCATATTCCTTTTTATCATCCCCTTATCCACCACTCCACATAAACTCCAAATTTCATGTGTGATAGTTTTTTTTTTAAATAAATTAATTGAAGTGTCATAAAAACTAGGAGGATACTGTACAAAGGTTTGTGTTGGGGTAAGTGAATTTTACAAACTATATTTTACAAGACATATGGTTTGTGAACTAAATAGTTTGTAAAGTTCCATTCATATGGGGGTATTGTGTAATTTTCCAACCTATCTGTGATTTTCAAAGGTTGTAAATAGATGGCTTGTAAATGATGTTTGTTAAATTTGTGTCACAACATTGAAGCATGTATTTTACAAACTGTATTATGCAAGTCTTGCATGACAAGGCTGTGAAGTTGTATAAAAAACCTTGAAATTAGAATTTTAAATGACATCATATGCTTGCAAACCATAATATTGTCATGTGAAACTAAGTATGTAAAAAACCTTATCAATACCCTGGAATAGAATTTTAAAGCATATAATTTACATTCTATCCACCTAAAAAGGTTATACTTTCACCATTCAAGAAGATTTCAAATATAAGGTTTATTTGGTTGAAACTCCAGTCCCACGGTTGCCAAGATCAAGCTTTGTTAAAGCTTGTTTTCTCAAACTTTTGGAAATTGCCCACACTGTGAAACCTTGTTTTCTCAAACTTTTGAGAGGGTATACTATTACCATCATATGTCACAGATTTTTAAATCTGTGAAACAGTTGTGACTTGTCTGACATCTTTGCAAACCTGTGATAATTTTGATTTGGTTGTTCTATTTTTCTGGAAGTTTCAGCCTATTTTATCCAGGTCAGTTCATTGGCCACCCTGGTAGCTCTATGCTCAATAGATTAATTGGCTTCCCAGTTTTATCTCTGGTGTCAAAGAAAACATGAGCTGGCTCCTTTATTTGCCCAATTGGGCACCCTGGGAGGAAGAGCATGTTGAGAATTGAGGTTGCAAAACAATTTTTGCAAAATTCAATTTTATATACTATCTGTTGTAATTTTGCAACACATAAATCACAACTCATTAATGGGTTGCACACTATGTTATTTTTGGGGTATTGTTTTATGTGTAGTTTATTTTTGATGCATTTATAATATATATAATAAATTGGAAAGAGGACAATGATGTTGGTGAGAGTTGTTGTAAGGTGATGATGGGGATATGTTGAGTGTATGTGTTTACTAGTATTTGCCCCCAAATTTGGGGAGGCTGCTTGTTTTTGCCCTGGATGTTGGGGGTTTTACTTGTTTGAAGGTCCTATGGTGTAATAGCCTCCGCTTTTGAAGGCCATTGTAGCCTTCGCTTTTGAAGGTCGCTATGATTATAAAGTCTTAGCAAATGTCGGAAATGACATTGAAATGTGCAACATCAATGCCGGCTTTAGAAGCCGCATGAGAAATCAATAGAAAGGACTATTCAAGCCTGACGGTTTGTTTGGCCCTCTGAGGCTCTTTTTTATTTATATGTAGATGTGTGTATGTAGTTGTGTTATGAGCTGTGGAGGACTGGAACTGGGGACATTACGCATGTAGAGAGCCTGTTACATACATGTCACGAACTTTGAACTTGGAGTTTGTTTGAGATCCGAACCTTGTACATTCCTCATCTTGCAATCTACCATCAAGACTCAGAACCTTGAAGATCCCTTACCTGCTCTCCCCAGAACACCCATAACATATTGCAAGATCAACTTACACGGAGACCAGGAACGAAACACCCAGAACACCACCCCTCAAACCTAGAAAATCAACCCTGAAAACTCACCTCTCAAACCTTGAAAATCATCCCCTTGAACTTCTCTCAAACCTTGTCTATCAACCTTGAAAACTTACTCCCTACCTCCCTCTCACCCTCACATACCCCTCAGGACTCCCCAGGAACGCCTCAGGCCCCCCCGGAGGTCGTTTTCTTGCGTTTTCCGTCGGATCGCGCCGGATCGTTCGTTTTATTTTTTGGATCGTCGTAGGGCCCTCGGAACATGCCCAGGACCCTTGGATATCGTTTGGAACGCTCAGATTGCGCTCGGAACGGCCCCTTGACCCCCCAACGGCCCCGGATCGTCGTCAGACGCTCCAGAACCAACCGGATCGTCGTCGGACAACCCAGACGGGCCCCCAGCGCCCCGGAGCACCCCACAGAGCGCCAGCACCCTTCCCATTGCCCACCGAGGCCTCCCAAAGGCCCCCGACGCCTGTAGACGAGCCCCTAGACACCAGGCAACTCCCCAGAGCACCCAGCAGCCCACTGGAGCGCTCCCAAGCCACCCAGTGACCCCTTTGAGCCCCTCAGTGCGCCCCAAGGATACCCTGAGACCCCCCAGCAGAAAACAGAACCCCTGGAAGACCCCTGGCCGTTTTTTTTTGAGACCCAGGCCTCCAAATCAGACCCCAGACCCCCAGAAAAACCCCATAGACCTCTGTGAGACCCCAGACCCCCCAGAAAAACTCCAAGACCCCCAGAATAAACCCCTGACCCCCCGAAAGAACCCAAGACCCGCAGAGAAACCCCTGAAAGACCCCCAGACCCCCCGAAAAAACCTGAAAGACCCCAGACCCCCCAGAAGAACCCCCGAAAGACCCAAGACACCCCAGATCCCCAAAGAGAGCTCACACAAGCCGTTTGGCGAGGCGTAAAAGTACACAATTAAGCCTCCACAATTTTAGTTGCACCTTCCAAAGTCACTACACACCGTCAAAGCATTACCTGCCACTCTGTGAGCCGCCCCGCACTATTTCGCTATGAATATAAACCCAAAGGACGCCAAACTTGCCAAGGTCCAGGCGCAACTGGCCGAACTCGTGACTGTGGTCAACGAAGAGCGCAAGGCCGGGAAGGAGTTGGAGGCGCGATTGGCCAAGAAGGAGGCCAAACTGGTGGCGACTGCAGCAACCGCCAACACCTCACCGCAAGCTCCAACTGTGCCGGTCAAAGGCCCCAAGATTGGAGCCCCCGACAATTTTGACGGCACTCGTGGAGCCAAAGCAGAGGTTTTCATTAACCAGGTAAACCTCTATATCCTGGCCAACCAACACCTCTTTGGCACCAACCACGCCATTATGGTCTTCATTTTGTCCTACTTGACTGGCCCGGCCAGCTTGTGGGCCCAACCGTGGATGAAGAAGGTCATGTGCAAGACCGAGACTATCAAGCATGACGACTTCGTCACTCAGTTCAACGCCATGTACTGCGACACTGAGAAGAAGACCAAGGCAGAAGCAGCCCTCCGAGTGTAAACCCCCCCTCCGGCTTGGTTCACAAACCCTTCACTCAGATGTCACACCCCCCTTGTAGTCTTCATTGTTGAGTTCCCCTTCCTGGCTCTGCAGAGATCTTCCCTTCCATCTCTCTGAGTCAGGTGAGTTTCATTCTCTCTTTCATTTTCCTTTCCTTCTTGTTTTCTTCTTTTCTAGATTGTACTGAGAGATCTTCCTTCCATCTCTCTGAGTCAGAAATCAAATCCCCCCGTGTTTGGTCTTAGAATCCGCTTAGGCTCATTAGCCCGTCCCATCAGCATCTTCCCCGGCTTATTCAGTGAAGGAAATTCCTAGTCCTTACACTTTTTTTTTCTCACACCAAAACAATCACATCAACCTTCTTCCGACTGACTACCTGAATTGACTTGACTGAACTGATTGAATCGACTTGACTGAACGTACTCGACTCGACTGTACTCGACTGACCTTGCTGCCTTGACGACTCGACTGTCCCTCTTTTCGAAACCACTATCTACGACTCGACTGCCTTTTTTCTCAGCCACTACCTCCTCAACATTCTATTCTTTTTTTTTCTTGCTTCTCTCAACTACTCGCGGGTGTTAGTTTATGACTACGAGAAGCAACAGAAGGCGGAACAAGCCGACCTGGCGGCTGCCATTGCCGGTCACCAAGGACGCGGCTGACCCAATCCTTTCCCTGTTATTCTTTCTTTTTCATTTTATTTTTTCTTCTTAATCTTCTATCTTGTTCCTTTTTTTTTTTTTTTTTTCTTCTCTTTCTTCTTTTCTTCATTTTATAGGAGGGGAGACTGTAAACCCCCTCCTCCAGTTGGGTTTCACAAGGAAGTCCTATACATGTCACCCCTCCCTTAGTACATCTATTCTCAGTTTCACTTTCCTGGCTCAGCAGAGATCTGACCCCCATTCTCTCTGAGCCAGGTGAGTCCCCAATTTCCTATCTTCATTTTTCTGTTTTCCTTGTTTTGCTTCTAAAAGGTTGTAGAGAGATCTGACCCCCATTCTCTCTGAGCCAGTAATCAATCCCCCCCAGTGTTTGGTCTTAGAATCTTGCTCCGGCTTCTTCAGCCTTGTCCCTCTCCGCGCCAATTCTCCGCTCATTCAGTGAAGGACATATCCAGTCCTTACAAAGCACACGAACGTCTGAACGTGGATACAATCCGGAGGACTCGGCAGCCGATTGGGATGCTCTGTCTGATGTAGCGCGCTCGACCATCAAGCTAACCTTATTGGTTGATCTAGCGATTAGATACAAAGACGTCAAGCCAGCTAACACGCTATTCAAGACAATTTGCAATGCTTACGAAAAGAATACCCGCGCTCGCCGTCTCCTGCTCGAGGATAATTTTTGGACTGCTCGCCACGACCCTTCCGCTCCGATTGCAAAATGGATTGCTCGAGTTCGGACTGCCGCTTCCGATCTCAAAAGCGTCAAACTGACGCCAGCCGATCAACAGATCTGTGATCGGTTACTCCAAGGTCTGGATGACTCCTGGAAGACTATCCGGGACCATCTCGTCTATTCACCAAACGAAGTGTCCCTCGATGATGCAATTGGTGCACTGGAAGCGCACGAAGTCTCAACAACGGCTTCACTCGATCATTCAGCCTCGGACCCAGTGTTTTCCGCCTCCGCCGCAAAGACAAAAACACGGGTTGGATGCTATAACTGCGGCCAAAGAGGCCATCACTCATCCAACTGCCCCAACCCTTCGCTCAAGAACAAAACAAAGGCTAAAGCAAACCTGGTCGAGACTTGGGCTGGTGCGGTAACAGCGGTTCCCTTAGGAAGCTATGGATCAAATGAAGACAACAACGACGACGACAGCTTCGATGATGAAATCGACGTCGTCTGGGGATAATGCCTGAAGTGGAAGAACTCTTTATTCGTAGGGTGCACAACTCCGGTGCTAACTGATGGTTAATTCTGCATGAAAGTCTGCCTCAAGAGTAAAGTTATTGTCATGATAGTTCCCTGCTCCTTATTTTCATCAGATCTCTAGCCTGATTTTCTTTCTTAAATTTCTGTCCCCTCCAAGAGATTTTTTTCACTACTAAGTTCCACATAGTGATTTTTTTTAATCTCCTTTTTCTACATATGTGTTTTGATTCTCAGCAAGGGGGTGTGTTGGAGTATATGCTTATACTGTTGTATGCATCAATCAAACCACATGACAAATCCTGTATTTAGTTCTCCTCAGGATTAGTCTAGTAGTTCCTCTCCTTAGTGAATACAAACCATCATTTTCCTTTTCACTCCTAAAGTGTCACAGACAGTCTGTCTGTGAAATTCAGTCATTAGTCTCCCTGTTTGTCTCAACATCCGAGACTACACCTCCCACCACAATGTCTGACAAAACGGCCCCAGCCCACGAAACGTCCGGATCGACTCGCACGGCGGACGCCTCTGACATGCAGACAGCTAAAGACTGGTTCAAATCGGTCTTTAAGCTACAACACGCAGCCATTATTGAAGCACATAATGACCGTCGACAAGCGGCCGAAGACGGTCGGCAAGCCATTGAAGATCGCCGCACTGACTGACAAATCCTTATGTCTGCTCACCAAGCCAATGCCGCCCGCATCAGCCGCTTAGAAGAACTTATACTAGCGATGAATGTTAAGAATGAGGCGGATGCTCGGCCGGTACAGCCGAGTCCAGGTCGGGTTGACCTACAGAAATTTCGCACGTCGGATGGCCCGATCTACCGCAGACCGTTTCAGGTGGTCGAGCCGTTCTTACGCTGGATCCACGGTGTGCAAATCTTTTTCGACACTAAAGACGTCAGTAATTCGGCCAACAGAATCAAGATCCTTGGTAATCTCATTGCGGAGACCAACCTCCAGTCCTTCTGCGCCAACGAGGCATCCGGGTTCCTGACCAAGTCCTGGAATGACTTCAAAATACGGATGTTTGATTTCGCTCTCCCCACAAACTGGTGTTTGGGCCTACAACAACAGGTCCGTAAACTCGAAATGTCGCAAGACAAAACCTTCCTGGAGTACAGTACAAAGCCTATTCAACTTCGACGCCAACGAGACATCCAAGCTTGGAGACCTGCAGCTGGCCCAATTCTTGGTCTATGGCCTACCGGACGCTCTTCAAGACCGGATTAACGAACGCCAGCTATTAGAGGTTGTCCCGTTTGCGTATGGCACTTTTGAAAAACAAGCAAGCGCTTCCTTCCTAGCGTTGCATCGCCCCACCGTCCCCCCTGCTCCGACTAGATCAACCCCGAGCGCACCATCAAACCTTGCCCGCGACGAGTTCGTCTGGCGAGTACACTTGTATCTGGATTCGCTGGGTTTGTGCCACTTCTGTAAGAAGCATTGTGGCAACGCGGCTGGCGCCTGTCCTGGACCAATTGACCGATCCCGCATCGACATTCCATCGGGTTTTGCAACCCCAGAAAAACCGGCCAACTATGTTGCCCCACGAGCCTGGAGTAGGCCGACTGCTACACCAGGAAAGCCCACACAACCTCCGGCAGGACGTCCTTCAACTCGCGCTGCGAGCGTCGCGGGTGTTACGGATACTACACCCCTTGAGGCTCAGGTTTCCGTGCTAACACTTGACGCAGCGATACGAGAAGATAATCGTTGGGACACTTACTTTGACGATGAGGGCTGCTTCCCTAGTCTAGAACCGGCCGCCGTGGCGGCACTCGAGGATCTCAACAGTCAACTCCTCGCGAACGAGATTGCGAAGGCCGAACAAGCTGACCTAGCGGATGCCATCGCCGGTCACCCGGGACGCGCTTGACTCAAAATTCCGCCTCCTTATCCTTATTTTTTTTTCTTCTCCTTCTCTCTCTCTCTTCCTTTTCTTCCCACTTCTTTTATGATTTTTTTTGTGTGTTATTTTATTTTATTTCTTTTTCTCTTTCTTCAATCTTTTTATAGGAGGGGAGACTGTAAACCCCCCCTCCGGCTTGGTTCACAAACCCTTCACTCAGATGTCACACCCCCCTTGTAGTCTTCATTGTTGAGTTCCCCTTCCTGGCTCTGCAGAGATCTTCCCTTCCATCTCTCTGAGTCAGGTGAGTTTCATTCTCTCTTTCATTTTCCTTTCCTTCTTGTTTTCTTCTTTTCTAGATTGTACTGAGAGATCTTCCTTCCATCTCTCTGAGTCAGAAATCAAATCCCCCCGTGTTTGGTCTTAGAATCCGCTTAGGCTCATTAGCCCGTCCCATCAGCATCTTCCCCGGCTTATTCAGTGAAGGACATTCCTAGTCCTTACACCGAGCACTGAAGCAGACCAAGTCGGTATCTCACTACACCCACCAGTTCAACCTGCACGCCCACAACACCAACTGGGCATCCGCCGTCCTTATCAGCCAGTACCGACAAGGCCTGCAATCCCAAATACGCCTCATGTTGCTGATGGCTCGAACTGAATTCTCAGAACTAGCCGAGATTGCCACTCTGGCCCTGCAGATCGACAACAAACTCCACGGTCTAACCCCCACGGCGGAGCCAACCAAGACCCCGGACCCCAACGCGATGGACTTATCAGTCATGCAAGACCGCCTATCAGACGCGGAGAAGACCAGGATGATGCGAGCGGGTCAGTGCTTCCGATGCGGAAAAGAGGGACACATCTCGAGGGACTGCCCGGACCGTGGCCCAAAGGCGAAAGGAAAGGAACAATCCCAGATTGCTGAACTTGAGGAGGAGGTCAAGCAGTTGAAAGCTGGAAGTAGTAGGGCGGACTCGTCAAAAAATGGAGGTGCTCAGGAATGAAGGATGTGCCTATCCTGAGCAGTGGAGAGTTGTTTGTTGTTAGCATTGGCGCCAGTGAAATTTTTTCAAGAAATCAAATTGATCCGCGTTTATTTATTTCTTTTCCCATTGTGCCACCCAAACATCCTTGAGCCACAACCCCATTGCCACTCCCTCCCGCTACATTTCTCATTGACTCTGGAGCAACCCACGACGTGATTGGCAAGTCTTATGCCAAGTCTACGGGACTCCTTGATATTGCCAGACCCTCTCAACGTACCATCTCTGGTTTTGAAGGTTCCTCAAGCCGTTCTTCCTTTGATATCCACCTGACTCTCGACACCGACCCATCCCCTTCCCCATTCATCATCACTTGCCTGAAAGACTCTTACGATGGAATCCTTGGAATGCCTTGGATCCGTAAGCATGGACACCTCATCAACTGGACAACCCAACAATTCAAGAAACCCCAAATTGCAGCTGTCAAATCAGCTTTGTCAATTCCGAAAAAAACCTCACCTTTTGGCGTGGAGCCCGTGAGGCAAGCTAGGATTATTGACAAGGGGGTGTGTGTTTCTGACACATTAACACCCCCGCAATGTGAGTTTGATAAAGCCCCTCCCCCCAAAATTACTCTTGAAACAGCTGGCAAGCCTCTTCCCTTCCTAGGACATAGCACCACCGGCCGGACCACAACCACTGAAGACAGGTTCATTGCAACTGCCGAGCCAGTTTTTCCAATTCCAACAAAGGCCTCATCTATTGGTGTGGAGCCCATGAGGAAAGCTAGGATTTTTGGAAAGGGGGTGTGTGTTTCTGACACGCTAACACCCCCGCAATGTGAGTTCGATATGCTCCCCTGCATAACTTCTGTTGAAACAGCTGGCAAGCCTCTTCCCATCCTAGAACTTGTTCCCACTGCAGATGTCAGTGCCGCCAAAGCCTCTTGGTCAACATTGGCTCAACTTGTAGAACTAGTCCCGACCCACTATCACCGGTATATCAACATGTTCCGCAAGTCCAGTTCCCAGAAGCTACCGCCTCGAAGAATCTACGACTTTCGAGTAGACCTTGTGCCAGGAGCCCTCCCCCAGGCAAGCAGGATTATCCCTCTGTCACCCGCCGAAAACCAAGCACTCGACACCCTAATCACTGAAGGACTGGAGAACGGCACCATTAGACGAACCACTTCACCTTGGGCAGCACCGGTGCTGTTCACGGGGAAGAAGGACGGAAATCTACAGCCATGTTTTGACTACCGGAAGCTCAATGCGGTTACAGTGAAGAACAAGTACCCCCTACCTCTGACGATGGACCTGGTTGACAGCCTACTTGACGCCAACACTTTCACCAAGCTCGACCTGAGAAACGCCTATGGAAACCTACGTGTGGCAGAGGGTGACGAGGAAAAGCTAGCTTTTGTCTGTCGACAAGGACAATTTGCACCCCTGACAATGCCATTCGGACCAAATGGAGCGCCAGGCTACTTTCAATATTTCATGCAAGACATCCTGTTGGGACGGATCGGAAAAGATACCGCAGCTTACTTGGACGACATAATGATCTACACGCAGAAGGGAACCGACCACCAAGCGGCAGTCATGGGCGTATTAGAGACACTTAGCAAGCATCAAGTTTGGCTGAAACCGGAAAAATGTGAATTCTCTAGGCCAGAAGTGGAATACTTAGGACTTTTGATATCTTGTAACCGGCTGAGGATGGACCCAACTAAATTCATGGCTGTATCTGAATGGCCGCAACCGAAGAATGTGACTGAACTACAGCGTTTCATTGGATTCTCAAACTTCTACCGGCAATTAATCAACCACTTTTCAGGAATAGCTCAACCTCTCCATGACCTGACAAAGGACAAGACTCCCTACGTCTGGGACGACCACTGCAACAAAGCTTTTGAAACCCTGAAAACCGCATTCACCACGGCTCCAGTACTGAAGATAGCCAACCCTTACCAACCTTTTGTCCTTGAATGTGATTGCTCAGACTTTGCACTCGGTGCCGTACTATCCCAAATCTGCGACAAGGACCAAGAACTTCACCCGGTGGCTTAATTATCGCAATCACTGGTCCAATCTGAGAAGAACTATGAGATCTTTGACAAGGAACTGCTGGCAATTGTGGTGTCTTTCAAGGAATGGCAACACTACCTGGAAGGCAACCCAAACCGTCTACAGGCAATTGTGTACACCGACCACCGGAACCTTGAAAGCTTCATGACAACCAAGCAACTGACAAGGAGGCAAGCAAGATGGGCCGAAACCATGGGATGCTTTGACTTTGAGATTGTTTTCCGACCGGGCCGACAGTCATCCAAACCGGATGCTCTGTCCAGACGACCTGACCTGGCGCCTTCAAAGGAGGACAAGCTCACATTTGGACAAAGCAGGACACCCAGGAAGATCAAAGACACTCTTGCTGATATGCCGCAGCTTCACGTGGCCATCCATGAAAAGCTTTGTGAACAGCTACGTGGATGGATGCAACTCTTGTCTTTGGGTTAAATCCTCAACCCTGAAACCATTTGGGACATTGGAACCGCTGCCCATCCCTGCAGGCCCGTGGACAGAAATTAGCTATGATTTGATAACAGACCTCCCCTATCCAACAATTGCGACAGTATCCTCACTGTGATTGACAGACTGACTAAAATGGCCCACTTCCTCCCTTGCAACAAGTCCATGAACTCCGAACAGCTTGCAGATCTTATGTTGAAACAGGTTTGGAAACTCCACGGCACCCCAAAGACAATTGTCTCAGACAGAGGAAGTATTTTTATCTCTCAGATCACACAAGAGTTGGACAAGCAACTTGGAATCCGGCTTCATCCTTTGACTGCGTACCACCCCAGGACTGATGGACAATCTGAAATTGCAAATAAGGCGGTGGAGCAATACCTACGGCACTTTGTTCAGTACCAACAGGACAACTGGGAACCGCTCTTGGCAACAGCGGAATTTGCTTACAACAACAACGATCACGTCTCAATTGGAGTCTCACCATTCAAGGCAAACTACGGTTTCAATCCTTCCTACGGCGGTATCCCATCAAATGAACAGTGTCTGCCGGTAGTTGAAGAGCGACTCAAGCAAATTGATGAAGTCCAATCTGAACTCAAGTTATGCCTAGAAGCGGCTCAAGAATCGATGAAGGCTCAATTCGACAAAGGTGTGAACGACACCCCTAATTGGAACGTTGGCGAGGAGGTTTGGTTGAACAGCAGGAATATTTCAACAACAAGACCCAGCCCCAAATTGGACCACAGATGGCTGGGGCCATTTCCAATTTCTAAGAAAATATCCCAGTCTGCCTACAAACTGACTTTGCCACTATCCATGCGGGGTGTTCACCCAGTGTTTCATGTTTCAGTACTGCGAAAGCACAGCACGGACACAATCACTGGGAGACGTCACCCCTCACCGGAACCCGTACAGGTCAATGAAGAGGAGGAGTGGGAAGTAGAAGGAGTACTGGACTGCCGGAAAAGAGGGAAGAAGTTTGAATACTTGGTTAGCTGGAAAGGATTCGGACTGGAGGATAACTCGTGGGAACCGGTGGGCAACTTGGAACACTGTCAGGACCTGGTTGCCGAATTCAACAACAAATTCGCGGATGTGGTGTCAAGACACAAGAGGTCACGGAGAATGAATTCAGAGGGCAAGCTTTTTCCCACTGGGTTTTTCAACGCTGCCTGGGGAAAGAATGCAGAGCCAAAAGAGGAGGAATCTTTTTTATTTTATCCATAGTTCAAAAAATTTTTACATACTAGGAAAGGGGGTGGCTTGGGAATTAAAGGGGGGATAGTGTTATGAGCTGTGGAGGACTGGAACTGGGGACGTTACATATGTAGAGAGCCTGTTACATACATGTCACAAACTTCGAACTTGGAGTTCGTTTGAGATCCAAACCTTGTACATTCCTCATCTTGCAATCTACCATCAAGACTCAGAACCCTGAAGATCCCTTACCTGCTCTCCCCAGAACACCCATAACAAGTTGAGTGAATAAGATAAGATGATAGAATGAATGAGAGATACAAGTGGGGGAAAAGAGAACTGGTATTTATACTCCATGAATGCTGAGCAAATGTCCAAGCAGCAGACATTCTAAAGGGGAAAGCTCCAAGAGCTTTTCCTTTTAAGAAAGTAATTATACCTTTCTTCTTTTTACAGCAATGCTCCAGTCCTCTGGTGCATTACTTCGTTTATTGATTTCTGATACAAAATGCTTAGCAGGTGTGGCAGCAGGCCCATTGTGGTATGTCCATACCTTTCCATGTATCTTCATTTTATTCATCATTTCTACATACATTCTTCCCAACATTATCTCATATGCAGATTTTACATATTATTTCACCCCTAGTCATCTTTTACAGTTTTTCAGTATCTCCTATAGTTCTCTAGTTATCATCTCTTCAGTATATTCATAGTTACAGAACAGTACATAACATTATACGTACAGTACATATACATTACACATGATCTAGTTACAGTATCTATGTAGCATCACTCCTTCATCATAGTACAGTCTCCTCCCAGATGTTTATAGCCATCTGTTTTGAGCTCCACAGAGGGAACCCAAAAACTTCAAGTCACAAAAGTTTGTGGAATGGTGGAAAATGGGTTTCAAAGAATGATATGGAAAAATAATAATAAAAAATAAGATTTTAAAATTTGTGAAAAAGATAAAAGAAAATCAACTTTTTTTGAAAACTTTAATTTTTTTTGTTTGAGTGAAAAGTGAACACACAGAGGGAAAGCTTGGAACATGAAAAGAATGATTATAAATCAAAAATATTGATCCAAAAAAATTTTCAGCATGGTGGGTGGACACCCTGCAGTCAAAATCAGTAGATTGCAGTACCAGAATGCCACATTTACCTTTTTAAACCACCAAGTAATCATTTTTCACAAATTTTCAGTTTTTATCATTCATTCCAGATCTCATACTATCACTTTGAAAATTTCATCTTTTCTCAAAAGAAAAATTGAGGCTGTCAGTTTTTG